GTGATTCCATTACCTTAATTTTTTCTACCCAGTAACCGGTAGTCGGTAATGTTTCTTCACCTTTTGAGTATATCGCCTATGTTTTCAACCCAATAACCGGTAGCAGGTGATTTTTCTCATTCCTTGTTGGTTGGTTATCCTTATTTTTACCTAGTAACCAGTAAAATGTAATCCTTCCTCCCTAGATTTTTGCATTTATATTTCTACCCAGTAACCGGTAGCAGGTAACATTTGTCTCTCCTTTGGTTAGTTACCGTTGTTTTTTCTATCCAGTAACTGGTAGTCAGTAATATTTCTTTGTGGTAATATTCCTTTTCCTACCCAGTAACAGGTAGTTGACATTTTGTTTATCCTATCCAGTAACTGATAGTTGGTAACCTTTTCCTTCAGGTTTATTACTCTTGCTAAACTACTCAGTAACTAGTAGTTGGCAATATTTCTTTTTCTACCCAGTAACAGGTAGTCGATTATCTCTCATCAAGTTGATTACTTTTTACCAGTAACCGGTAATAAGTAATACAACTCTTTGTTTTTCTACCCAGTAACCGGTAGATTATAACTCTTTTGTGTTTATTGAACTTATTTTCTACTCAGTAACTAGTAGAAAGTATTTTACCTCTTCTCTTCGGTTTGAGTATCTTCTCCTAGTAACCGACAGTTGGTATCTCTTTCTCAATTGAGTTGATTCCTTTTCTTTATCAGAATATAGTCTTACTCTTTTGTTTTCCCCTGTGGGGTCTCTTTTCTTCTTTTGTTCCCAGCAGTTTGTTTGTCTCCTGTGGCATTTTTCTCCCCACAGACGTCTTATGTCTGCATATCATTTGCATAATCATATCATTTTGTGGTCTTTTAGGGCTAAAAATTGGGTTTATTTTTATATTTAAGTCTCTTCTATCTGGTTGAGACAAAGATGTCAATCTTTATATCTCCAAATAGAAGAAACTTAAATAGGGGCAGATGTAATACCCTAATTTTTACCCCTAAGATCCCACTTATCATTTACGTCTCATACCACAAAACAAGATCACAAGCTTTGGTTCTCTTGCCTTCCTCTACAGGTTTGCCTTTGAGAGTTATCTTTGGGCACCCTTGTTTTCTTGTATGCTTGGTGTCTGTTTATGTTTATGTTTACTAACCCTTATTTAAAATCCAAAAAAAATTTTTGTTACTAATCCTTATGTTTATGTTTATGTTTACTAACCCGCATTTCCGTGCCTTTTGCGCGACGGTCGTACGTTTTCGATTTGTATTTTTTGAGGTACGACATATATACCTGAAGATAGAGGAGGGTGTGGACAATCTTAATGAGTTAGACGCTTTGGTAGGTGATGATGTTGCTATGCAGGGTGTTGATATGGATAAGGGTAGAGAAGAAGCTTCATCGATGATTTGGAAGAATATTTACCTTAAGGAGAACCTGTTGAGATAAAAATCTAGAATGTTGTGGTTAAAGGAGAGGGATAGAAACTCGAGTTATTTCCACAGGGCGATGAAATTGAGGTTTAGAAGGAACAACTTATCCTTTGTAAATACGGTAGATGGCAAGAAGGAAGGGGTGGAAGAAATTAAAAGTGAGGTCAGGAATTTCTTTTGTTCCAATTTTCAGGAAGGTTTGAAGGTTAGACCGGTTATAAATGGATCTGTCTTTTTAAAGCTTTCCATTCAGGATAGTAACTCCTTGGAAGAAGTCTTCACTAAAACAAAAATCAAGGCAGCGATTTGGAGCTGCGGTGGTGATAAAAGCCCGGGTCCGAACGACTTCAGCTTTTTTTTTATTCATGATTGTTGGGAAACCACCACGGAGGGTGTCTCACGTTTTTCAATGGAGTCTTACCATAATCCTACTATTTCTAAGGTAGTTACTACCTCCTTTATCACTCTTGTTCCTAAGGTAACCTTTCCCCAATCTCTAAGTTCTTACAGGCCCATTTGCTTAGTTAGTTGCTTCCAAAAGATTTTGTCCAACATCATGGCAGGTCGCATTAAGAGGATTATTGATTCCATTATTTCGGCAGACCAAACGGTCATCTCTGGTAGGAGCATGTCTAATGGAGTTGTAGTGGTTAATGAGGTTTTAGATCTTACTAAGAGATTGAAGAAGGAATGTATGGTTATGAAGATTGATTTTGAAAGGACGTACGATTGTGTCAATTGGGACTTTCCGAGATTCCTTTTTTGAATATGAATTTTGGTGCTAGATGGTGCAAATGGATGGAATCGTTAGTTTTTAATGGATCGACGTCTATCTTGGTTAACAGCAAGGCCACTAAGGATTTTTTGGTGGGTATAGGTTTCCATCAAGGAGACCCACTTTCTCTTTTTCTATTTTTATTGGTCATGGGAGGGCTCACTAAGTTGATTAATATAGCGGTCGAGTCATATAAGTTCAAAGGATTTAAGATGAATGACTTACTCTTCTTTAGTATTGTGCAATTTGAAGATGATACTCATTATTGGGGGCAGAAGTTGGGACAACCTGTGGTGCATCAAAGCGCTGCTTAGAGGATTCAAGATGATGTCGGGTCTTAAGGTTAATTTCTTCAAAAGTAGTATTGGTGGGATTAATTTGAAATCTATATTTTTAGAGGCAGCTTCCTCATTCCTTCACTACAGTATCAGTTCATTCACATTCAAGTTTCAAGGAGTTTTGGTAGGGGACAGTCCTAGGAAAAAGAAGATGTGGGTTCATGTGTTACAGATCTTGAGGAAGAGGTTGGCGGCTTGGAGAGGGAGGAACCTGTCTTTTGGAGGTAAATTGGTACTCATCAACTTTGTTTTGAATGCTATCCCAGTTTTTTCCAATTCACTCTACAAGGCTCTGATTTCAGTTCTTAAGGAGATTGTTAGGATACAGACTAATTTTCTTTGGGGAGGAGGAGAATCTATTAAGAGAATTCACTGGGTCAACTGGAGATCCGTTTGTCGTCCTAAAGAGAAAGGCGGTTTGGGAATCAAGGGCGTTGTAGTTTTTAACAAATCCTTGATGCTCAAATGGAGATGGAGTTTTACTAAAGACAAGTTGGCGCTATGGAGAGAGCTCTTGGAGTTTAGATACTCTAATTCAAACTTAACACGGGAGGCGTTCCGGATGGGTTTCCTTAACGACAGGAGAGCGGGGTTGATATGGTGGCATGATATTTTGGGGTTGTGTTTCAAAAACCTTGAGTCTTTGGATCCTTTTATTTCTAACACTATTTACAGGCTGGGAAATGCAGAGGATATCCCGCTTTGGAATTTAGTTTGGCTTAATATGTTGCTTTTAAAGGAGGTCTTCCCAACTCTTTATGCGTTTTTTGTGACCAGAGCTCGAGTGTAGCTGAAGCTAGATGTCGGATAAGCGATGGTTGGTTGTGGAAGGTGGCCAGACAGTTTGAATCAGGTGGAGTGGAGGAGTCGACGAAGAGCGAGTCTCTGCATTCCTTACTGCAGAATGTAGTACTAGACAGTAATAGTGAAGATACTTTCTGTTGGGCGGCTGCTGAATCCTTTATTTTGTCTGTTAGTTCAATATATCATATCTTCATGCAACAAGAAGCCTTTGGTTCAGTTGATGTCAAGCTCGAGAAGGCTGCTTTCTCTTTGTGGAAAGTCAATTTACCCTATAAAATTCATTTTCTTGTTTGGAGATTTTTTTTGGATCGTTTAGCCATGAAAGATCAATTGATGAAACGTGGTCTGGCTTCAGTCATTTCAGATGATTTGTGTGTCTTGTGTAATGGCTGCGAGGAAAATTCCAATCATTTATTCTTGTCTTGTGTCATAGTGGCGGAATTATGGAGGGGGATTGGTGTTTGGGTGGGGTTTGATGTTAACCTGAATTCTGGTATCATTAATTCTTTTTTAGAATGCTGTCAATCATTTAAGATGTTGGGAGGAAGCTTAGAAGGATTGGCTATATGGTCAGCAGTTGTTTGGTTGATATGAAAAGCTAGGAATAATGTTACATTTAGAAATTCTAGTTTCTCTATGGCAGACTTTCTTAACTCATCAAATGGATGGCTCTCTTGGAGTTAGATTGGTCTAGTATCTAGAATCAATTGTGGATCTTTCTTTGACTGATTTTTCTATCCAGTTAATTGTTTGAGGTTGTTATAATTGATTTTTTTTTGTTGTAAGGATTGAGTACCCTTTATACTCGTTTCTTCTATTCCATTGCCTTTTAAAAAAAACTATAGATATCATTAAAACATTGAGAGTTGCATTGGATGTGAATAATTGACATTAAAAATAAAATGAGAGGTATTTATACACGGAGGTTAGCTTGAGAATCAAGTAACTAACTTATCTCAAATAACAAACTATAACTAACCATGTTAATCCTAACTAACTAAACTAATTATAATTACAATGAATATGTTAATAACATTTCCATGTCTATTAATCAAAACAATTAATGTAGATATTCTCATTAGCAAATGCAAGTTAACATTCCTGATCAAAGTTACCATCAAGGCACTGTATGCACGACACGTATTTTAATTAAATACTACACTTTTGCACTCATACACCAATATAATAACAATAATATACGTCAATGCTTACCAGCATGATCTGAAAATTAAATTTGTGACTACATACATAAACAGAATCGCATTAATATCTTTTTTAGCAGTTAGTTATATTATAAAATAATAATACATTAGACAATTCTCATTATTTATTTGTTTCTAGTAAAACTATATGTGCTTTTACAGAACACAAAAACAATAAAACTGTGTGTCCCCCAATTTTTTATATATAACATAGACATTTTTGGAAAGACAAAAGATTCTTTGGCTCAGAGAAATAAAATAAACATGTATATAATAATATATGTTTGAATTAGCAAGTTCATCTTGAACTCATTTGGTGTAGGTAGTACTCTCTTATTCCATTCACACTAAGATTACAATTATATTAGTAATTAGTTATTAATTAATAGTAATTAACCATTAATTATCCATCATGCCAAGTTCTATATATATATATGTGTTACAACTTTCAACCAAAGTAAACACGCAATGGATTTTTATCCAGAGACACTTGCACACATTAACAATGGCTTTGAGCTACACGATTTCATTGAAGATCCAAACTTTGATCAGTTCATCAACTTGATTCGCGGGGAAGAAAATGAAGATACTACTATGTGTAACTTCAATTCTGACCTAATAATGAATCAAAGTTTTGTTGATAACTCATTCGTTTCGTTTCCTACAAACACATTTGATCACTCTAATAATAGTTTTGTCACCCCTTTTGATCCAACCTCTTCACTTGGCTCTTTATCTTGTTTCGAGGGAGAAGCTAAGGGAGAAATAAGAGAAGAAAATGATAATGATAATGATAACGATAATGATGATGATGATGATAATTATTCTTCTCCAACAACAACTACAAGTGGTGATACTAAGCCAAGGATGAAAACTGATAGGTCCAAGACTTTGGAATCTGAGAGGAGGAGGCGAGGTCGAATGAAGGATAAGCTTTACGCATTGCGATCTTTGGTTCCCAATATAACTAAGGTAAGTGTACTGTCTTAAAATTTGCGCTGAGTCTAACCCTAACCCTAATTGAAACATACTGATTTATAAGATGAAGACTGTTTATGTTACATCATAAATCAATGATCATGGTTACGAATTACAATAATATTTGGTAAAATGCAAACATATTATTACTATAATTAATATATAATATAACTGATATTATATTTAATTATATGTATAGATGGATAAGGCTTCTATCATTGGAGATGCTGTTTCATATATGCAACAACTTCAATCACAAGCCAAGAAGCTTAAGGCTGAGGTTTCTGGACTTGAAGCATCCTTAGCAGTCTCCAAAACTCATCAAGCATCAATTGAAAATCACAAAAAGATTCAATTCAATGATAACACTAGTTCAATATGCAAGAAAATTGTCCAGGTATTTATTCTCTATAAAATGTTTAAATTATTTAATTAAACTATGCAAGATATTGTAATTAATTTGTAACAATTTTTTTGAATATGGTTTTTTGTAGATGGATATGTTTCAAGTGGATGAAAGAGGGTTTTATGTCAAAATAGTATGCAATAAAGGAGAAAGAGTGGCTGCTTCATTGTACAAGTCTCTTGAATCATTGAGAGATTTCAATGTTCAGAATTCAAATTTGGCCACTGTTTCTGATAATTTTCTACTTACTTTTTCATTCAATGTAAGCTATATATATATCCTTTTTTTTCTCTAGTTAATTATCATATCTACTATTTAATTATAACGTTAAATATTATTTTAGATATAATTTATTCAAATTTTGTTTTTAGTCATTGGATCTATTTTAAATCTCTAGAAAACAAAAGTAGATGCTAATTTTATTTTATTTTTTTTATTTGTCTTCTGATATATCGATTTGTGTATTATATTGAAATCAGGTAAAAAACTCAGAGCCAATAATCAACCTGCCCAATTTAAAGCTATGGGTGATTGGAGCTTTTCTAAATCAAGGCTTTGAATTCTTACCTTCTTTTTAATCTTGATATTCTAAACTATATAATGTAATGTTGTAATCTAATTCAGGTTGTATTAGATGGATTATTATATGCCTCTCGTTGAAGGTTAACTTAACTACGAGCATGAGACACAATTTATTATCTGTTTCTCTTTTATTTCTGTATAACTTTTATTAATAAAATCTTATTTTGGTTAAAAAAAGTTATTATTAGTATTTTTTTTTCCTTGTGAGAGTTAATGTTCATCTCTATTTTCTATTTTAATTTAATTTTAACAATTAATACGCTTCCAAGACTTGTATAACAATTATTACAATTGCTGCCTCGAATATTATAACTAAATTGTTATATTTTTTTATTGATGTAAAAAAGTCAGCACATCCATGCTCATCAATTACAAATTTCATAGATGTGTTGTTTTAACACAAAGGAGAATATCAATTTAAATGTGTGTGTGTGTGTGTGTGTGTGTGTGTGTGTGTGTGTGTGTGTGTGTGTGTGTGTGTGTGTGTGTGTGTGTGTGTGTGTGTGTGTGTGTGTGTGTGTGTGTGTGTGTGTGTGTGTGTGTGTGTGTGTGTGTGTGTGTGTGTGTGTGTGTGTGTGTGTGTGTGTGTGTGTGTGTGTGTGTGTGTGTGTGTGTGTGTGTGTGTGTGTGTGTGTGTGTGTGTGTGTGTGTGTGTGTGTGTGTGTGTGTGTGTGTGTGTGTGTGTGTGTGTGTGTGTGTGTGTGTGTGTGTGTGTGTGTGTGTGTGTGTGTGTGTGTGTGTGTGTGTGTGTGTGTGTGTGTGTGTGTGTGTGTGTGTGTGTGTGTGTGTGTGTGTGTGTGTGTGTGTGTGTGTGTGTGTGTGTGTGTGTGTGTGTGTGTGTGTGTGTGTGTGTGTGTGTGTGTGTGTGTGTGTGTGTGTGTGTGTGTGTGTGTGTGTGTGTGTGTGTGTGTGTGTGTGTGTGTGTGTGTGTGTGTGTGTGTGTGTGTGTGTGTGTGTGTGTGTGTGTGTGTGTGTGTGTGTGTGTGTGTGTGTGTGTGTGTGTGTGTGTGTGTGTGTGTGTGTGTGTGTGTGTGTGTGTGTGTGTGTGTGTGTGTGTGCGCGCACTTACAACCTTTTATTTGATCGCGGACACAACATATTTTAAATCTTAAAATGCAAAAATTTATGTTCATGTTCGCATCCGCAAAAGCTCGGAAAAAAATAACGGGGTGGGATAATACGAAGCATTATAGGATGCAGGCTTAAACCCTTAGCATTCCCCTCACTAAAGTGTGGGCAAAATAGACATGCCCAATGGAACATAAAACAAGTCAAAATAAATAAGAAAAGTTAAACAACCACACACTGAACAAGCCACATCCCGACGAAGAACCAAGTGAGAACACAGACACCAAACTCACAATGTAGGACGAAAAACACATGCTACACCAGAATCATTGCACGCTAGGGGGACATGTTGACTCTCAATGCGATATTGGTTCAGACACGTGATAGAATTATGAAGTCTGTCATTGAAGGAGAGAGAGAGAGAGAGAGAGAGAGAGAGAGAGAGAGAGAGAGAGTTTAGGGTGATTTTCTATACAACCAACATCAGACCAAAAAGACCCTCTTATCATCCACCTATTTCACATTTGTTGATGCATTAGTTAAAAGCCTATCATTACGGATAGTCGAGATAGTCCACGCTATTGCATGCAAAATTTTAATAAACCTAACTCTAAACTCAGGCTTAAGAGAACGAAAAAGCTAAAATACGAATCTAAGATCCCTAGAAAGAACTGAAAATATCCCTAACAACCAAAATTCCCAAACTAGACACTGGAAACTAAACTACAAGTCACGAATAAATGGTATCCATACTCAACCTAATTTAAAATGTGGTCTCTTAGAAAATGATGTCGGATGTCTTTGTGTCTAGTTCAAAAATGCATGATAGATTCTTTGTCAAATTGATGGCACTTGTGTTGTCACGTTTTAGGGGAATGCATTCTAAATTCAAACTATAGTCACATATTTGTTGCTTTAATCATAGTATATGAGCACAACAACTTCCAACTGCAATGTATTATGCTTCTTGGTTACTAAGAGTAACATATGTTTGCTTTTTATATGACTATGAAACTAGGGCGTTACCAAGTATGGGACATCTTTCTGTGTTTTTTCCAAGTGTTTTACAACCTGCATAGTTCGATTCAGAATAACCTACTAAATCACATATACTATCTTTTGGATATCACAACCCGACATTTGTGGTTCCTTTCAAATACTTCATGATCCTCTTTACATAAGAGAAATGGGATTCCCTTGGACATGACTGTAATAAGGACATAGACATACACTAAACATTATGTTAGGACGATTAGTAGTTAGATAAAAACAATGATATAATCATACCTTTTTTAATGTCTATTGACGTACTAAACACGTCTTGATACACATGTACTTGAACTCATTGGAGTGGAAATTACTTTTCAATTATCCATGCTAAATCTTTTTTGAATCTCTTTCAATATTTTGATTGATTTTTTGAATATGCAATTCTTTGTTTGCTTGATTTGCAACCCAAGGAAGTAGTTCAATTTTCCAATTACGGACATCTCAAATTGTCCTTGTATCATTGTTGATAATTCTTCACATAAGGATTCGTTTGTTGATCCAAATATGATTTCGTATACATAAATTTTCACCAATAACGTAAGATCATAAATTCTTTTGATGAAAAGTGTTATATCCACCTTTCCTTTTGGAAAGTCTCTTTCACATAGGAAATTGCTTAGCCTATTTTACCGTGTCCTTAGTGCTTGCTTTAATCCATAGAGTGCTTTCTTGATTTTGTACACATGAAACGGGTTCTTGAAATCTTCACGTCCTGGAAGTTGACTTACATAATCTTATTCATTTTAGATGAGGGTAACGATTTATAGGGGGTGAATAGATTGCAATCATCTTACTAAGAAACAGTTTCAAAAGTTTTAACACAAACAAAATTATCAATGTAGTAAATTGCATAAAAATTGAATTAATAAATTTGAGAGAGAGGGAGAGAGAGAGAGAGAGAGAGAGAGAGAGAGAGAGAGAGAGAGAGAGAGAGAGAGAGAGAGAGAGAGAGAGAATATAAGTATTTGTTTAGGCAGATCCACAATTGTTCACACTATGGATACGTCTGCCCCTAATTCTAAATGGACTTAAGATATTCAATTAACCTTTGCAAATGTTGTATACAAGAGAGAAATAACAATCCAAACCCCCAAACCCTAAGTTTGATATTGATTCTACCTTCTTCTCTTCCCTTGATCTTAAGAAAGATCAAGTGACCCAAGATTTTGAATGTGAACCTTTTGTAACCACAACTCCTTTGACATAACCCCGTTTTTTAAAGCTTTCACTCGGCTAAATCCTCATTGTAAAATTTTATGCAAGAACTCCTAAATCACCCTTGATCTTTGAGGGAAAACTCCAACTGGGTTTATCAATTAAACCCCCAAAGAATTCTCAATCCAATTTGATTACAACAATCCTAAATTGGACCTTATCAATCTTGTATCTAGGTGGAACCCAACAAAAATGATTATGTGTAATTGTTGTATGTATGCATAGGAAAAGATTGAAGATGATGAGCAATGCCTTGTATCTTCTTGGTTTTAATGCTTCTGAAAATATGCATGAATGCATATATAATTGGAAGAAGTCTGCGATGACGTAAGGATGGTTTGGGGGGAAGCTAGGTAGTAGCCAGAGCTAGAGCACGGACTCGCCTAAGAGATACCTGAGATATAACCCAACCTAACGAAGTTGTCGTATTTCCAGGTTGAGGGCCATGATGGGCCGAGGTAGAGAGCCTCATATCATCGAGTATGGATCTCGGCTAAGTCGAGATAATGATCGGATGAAAGGCCACCATCCGAAAACGGTCTTAGAAAATGAAAAGTCATAATGGCACCATAATGAAATAGGCATTACAAGCCATTAAGAAGTGAAATTAAATGATAAAGTGGCAGTAGTTTTCTAGGCTTTGAATTCAGGAATGAAGAGGAAAGTGTTCTTCATGACTGTTAGGGGGTGAGAAATGTTTGTATCTAAGAGACATCAAGAAATGAGAAAAGGGGGGTAAATACTACCCGAGAAAAACATTTATAGACACTTAACCAATCATTTGAGATTCTTCCTAACTAGAATCGTGGAAGTCGAACTTTTAGTGATTTTAGCATGAACATTTGGTGCCCACTGTGGGGCCTTGGTAAAATTTTCCCAAGCCACACAAAAAAAATCATTAAAATCGCTAATATCCCAATTGTGCAATGTTCAGATCATCTCCCATCCGAAGTGATCCACCTCCACCGCTAGACTTAACCCAATTGCTAGTAGTAGTGGATGCTCTATATCGACAAAATGAAACATCACAAAATATCATCCACATTTTGCAAACACAGAGTCAACATGATGGGGATGTAGAGGAGGAGCTTCTGGATTCCCAACCAATGTCTAAGGCGATCTGGGGTGATAAAGTTCTAGAGAACATCAAACCACAACCATTGGTATCTTTTGATGATAAAACTGACCCACAGGAGCATATTATTGTAATCTATAATCAGATGTAAATAGTATGGGGCTTCTGATTCCCTTAAGTGCAAACTCATAGAAGTTACCTTTAAGGAAGGGGCTCTGTGGTGGTACATGGGATTACCCAGATTCTCGGTCATTAGCTACCAAGACCTAAATAAAAAGATGGTACAACACTTTTCAACAAACAAACATAGAAAAATGTCGACTACTAGTTTATTCAACATCTGGCAAGGGTACTCGGAGTCTCTCAGAGAGTATCTGGTGAGGTTCAACAAATAAACCATTAAGGTGTCTCATCCGAACCAGGAGATGTTTGTGGGGGGATTTCAACATGGCCTCAAAGTTGGGCAGTTCAATGAATCCCTAGAACAAAAGCCAACATTTAGTATAAATGAGATTATTACAAGAGAAGAATTCTATATCAAAGGGGAGAAGATCAATATGGAAAAGAGATCTCGAGATGCCAAGGTGT